TGAATATATGACTGAAGTTGTTAAAAATTTTTTTCCGACTTGTATTGTATCCACAATAAAAAATCTGGGTGAAGAAATCAAAAGAAAATCTACTCTAATAGACCTAACGTGATGAGAAGCAACAAAAGTCAGTTTAAAGACTCATGTGCCTGATTCAAGTCATGATCTTTTCAACTTCTCACTTCCCATACTAAGAGTCTTTAAAATTCAGCAAGTCTGAAGAATAAGTTACTAATTGGACAGTCTTAGGTCCTGGCACACCAAACGAAGCACAGATACATAGAGGCAAACAGTGTCCTCCTGGTCAGTGTAATGATTTGCATATTGCTCTTGGAAGGTTGACAGTAGGTTGCATATTAAACAATTTGGGAATCCCCCATTTATTGAAGATTCTATAGATTGTACTGCTAATTTCTCCAACATTCTGGACTAGAGAGAATGATCTATATTTGCCTCCTAGGGCTCAGCATAAAAACTGCAGCCTCCTTCCCAGGTTATACACACCCCCCAACTCAACCTGTTTTTCTCTACCACCTTCAGTTGAGGAGGAGATATGGAATAGCAAGAAACAAGTCTTTGAAGGCTTGGGAAAAATCAAATATGGAAAGCATCATTAATCTATCCTTGCCCTGCTACTCCTGAGTCAGGGAAAGTCTCTGGACAGACACAAATAATTGTTCTGAGTAATTTTCCCTGTCAAAGCTTCAAATCTACTGAACAGTTGCCAAATCTCCATTGTACTTTGTGGAATCAGACTGTTAAATAGAAAGCAAGTGGACACTGTTTTTAGCATTTCCCCCATCAACCAGAAAACACTGTAATCAGCCTAGACAAGTTGCTTTCTGTAATCTCATGCCTTCTTGTAAAGGAAAGAAAGTATAGTCTAATTAGAGTTTTTGCTGGCTTTGAAAGACTTAACCCTGCTTAGGCCTTTTGGCACCTAAATGACGGAACTCAAAATATCACACAGTCAGGAACTCAAAAGATGAGTTGCACTGGAAAAATTTGCTGTCAAGAAACTCTCCAGAGTGCTAATGAGCAGTGATGTCAGTCTAGAGACTGAGGTGTGACTGATCCATGCCATGGTCTTCTCAATTGCTTGCTATGCATCTGAGAGCTGGACAATAAATAAGAATGACAGAAAAATAAACAATGCCTTTGATTTGTGGTGCTGAAGAAGAGTACTAAACATGTCATAGAATGCCAAGAGAATAAACAGATCTGTCTTGCAGAGCATGAAACCAGGTTTCTCCTTAGAGGCAAGGATTTTGAAGCTCCATCTCTCCTACTTTTCAGCATTGTCAGAAGGGGCCAGGCCTTGGAGAAGGACATCATGCTTGGGAGGGTAGAGAGAGTCAGTATAAGAGAGGAAGATCCAGGATGTGATGGATTGACATAAATAGGACATGAGGCCACACAAGATGAATTTCTTAATTTTCTAGAGAATGCTGAAACATCTCTGAGGATCACCCTAGCAATGGCTGGAGTGGCCAGGGTTGGAATGATGAGCAGCACACACAGCACAGGTGTACACGAAGGCAGGGGTTGGAGGAAGACAGTTTCTGAGACTGGATGCAGTGTGACCACTGAAACGTGCTAAAACTGGAGTTCTTTTTATCTCTTCACCACTTGCTAATATTTCCCACTAGGGGAAGAGTAGTTGTTGTTGTTGCTGTTGCTGTTGTTGCTGTTATGTGCCGTCAAGTCGCCTGTGACTTATACTGACTCTATGTACAAGAGCCCTAAACCCTGCTCTGTCCTGTGCCAAACTCATTGTCACAGACACACCCACCCTGATTACCCCAGTCACTGAATCAATCCACCTCATAGAGGGTCTTCCCCTCCTCTGCTGTCCCTCCATCCTCCCAAGCATGATGTCTCTCTTCAAGGACCGGGGTCCCTCCTTGCAACATGTCTAAAGAATGTCAGGCAAAGCCTCAGAATCCTTGTCTCCAAGGAGCAACCTGGTTTAACCCTCTCCAGGATGAATCTGTTTGTTTTCCTAGCAGTCCATGGTACTCTCAATACTCTTCTCCAGCACCACAGCTCAAAGGCATCAATCCTCCTTCTATCCTCCCTACTCATTGTCCAACTCTCTGACACATAACAAGTGATTCCAAAGACCTGTATCCTATGCACCTTAGTCTCCAGAGTGACATCATTGCTCTTCAGCACTTTGGAGAGGTCCCTAACAGCAGACTTTCGCATTGCAATGTCTTTTAATTTCCTGGTTGCTGGTGCCAAGAGTATTGACTGTGGAGCCAAACAAACTAAAGCTGTGAACAATCTCAATTTCTTCACCATCCATCCTGATGCTGCCAATTGGTCCTGTGGTGGGAATCTTTGTTTTCTTGATATTGAGCCTCAATCCATATCGAAGACTGCAGTCCTTGACCCTCTGCAGCAAGTGCTTTAGGTCCTCCTCACATTCAGCAAGGCAGGTTGTGTCATCTGCATAACGCAGATTGTTGATGGATCTTCCACCAATCTTGATGCCACTTCTTCCCACAGAGCCCAGCCTCCCAGATAATCTGTTTTGCATATATATTGAAAAGTTTCTGCATATAGGTTGAGCAAGAGCCTATGGTGATGAAGGAAGAAGTTTAAGCTGCTTTGAAGGAAATAGCAAAAAATAAGGCCCCAGGAATAGATGGTATACCAATTGACATATTTCAACTAACAGATGCTGCCCTAGATGTGCTCACCAGGTTGTGCCAAGAAATCTGGAGAACAACCACCTGGTCTACTGACTAGAAGAGATCTATATTTGTTCTCATTCCAAAAAAGGGTGGCACAACAGAGTGTGGAAATTATGGCACATAACAACAACAATCATTGATTTCACATGCAAGCAAGATTCTACTGAAGATTATCCAAAAACGACTGGAACAGTACATCAGCAGAGAACTGTCAGAAGTCCAGGCTGGGCTTAAAAGGGGTCGCGGTACTAGGGATATTGTAGCTGATGTTAGATGTATCAGCTGAAAGCAGGGAATACCAGAAGAATGTATATTTGTATCTCATTGATTATGCAAAGGTGTTTGACTGTGTGAATCATAACAAACTGTGGCTGACTCTGAGAAGAATGGGAATCCCAGAACACTTGATCATGCTAATATGAAACCTATACTTGGACCAAGAGGCAGTTGTCAGAACAGAGCAGGGAAGCACTGCATGGTTCAAAATTGGGAAGGGCGTACACCAAAGAAGAGTTGAGGTGACTATAAATAAGTGAACAGAACTACACACCTTGGTAATTTAGCAAAACAAGTGATAAAGGTTAATTAAGGTAATGAAGAGGAGGCGTGGTTGGTGAAAAATAGAACCTGGGCAAAAGTGTTAAAGAGAACAAGAGAAGGACATGTCCCTGAAAAGTCAAGGGTGGACCTACTGGCTTGCTGCCAATAGAAAGAGAGAGAGCTACTTCCATGTGGGCACTGCTTTTTTTGACTCCCAATCTCCAGAGACTGGTCATAACCTAGCCCTACCTATGGAGGAGTGGGACTTGTCAGGGTTTGGATCCCTTGCATTCCTGAGAAGGGGATGTCTTCCTGATGTAACACCTTTTAGCTGGCTCCTACTAAAAGTACTATTGAAAAGATTGAAATTAAAATAGTCCCTATAGTTCTCAGCTGAATTAAACTCAAGTGTCTATAGTTCTCAGCTAAGTTAAACTCAGGAATTTTTAAAGCCCCACACCCAGGTATCCAGGGAAACAGTATTTCAAGAATAGCTAGCAGAAGGGCAGAGCAAACAAGCAAAGATTGTTTCTCAACTGATAACCCATGTGCCTTTGTTTCCCGACTGATAACCAATGTATCTTGTGCTTTTCCACTGCCCTAGAGTTTGAACTCATTGTATACTTAAGAATTTGTGACACCACCATATAGTTAAAGATCTATCTAACTGCTACATGTGCTACGTGACTGCCGCAAGTGCTACGTGCAAAAATGCTGTGTAAACCCTGAGCGAACACTGAACCAATGAATTCAAACTGTGCTTTCATCACCCAATGAGAAGCTGATACTCAGTTGTATCCCCCTAAAGTGTATAAAAAAACCCAACTTTGTCTGCTCTCGGTCGGCTCCTCTATCTCTTGCCAGAGATAAGAGTCAGCCCGGAGCTCTGCAATAAACCTCTTATCTCTTGCTGTTGCATCAAGCTGGTGTCTTGGAGTCTTGGGTCTTCGCTGTCCACTCGGGACAGAACAGGACCAGCGGTTGGGGGGTCCTTCACTATCACACTGGTTTATCACACTGGTGTATCTGTTTTTGGCTTCCCTTCCTATTTCCTCTAAGAAACTTTATTTTTAGCCTTCTCCTATGGGGAAGGGATGGAAAAGAGAAAGAAAGGAAGGAAGGAAGGCAGAGAGACAGAGATGCAGCAGCAATTCTATCCCTTGACAACCAGCTTCAGAGAGTCCTGGTGAGAACATTAGGCAGGTGGCACAGGCCAAGACCTGAAACATGGAGTCTCAGAGAGGTTGTAAGCAAATTTTGTTAACAAAAAAGTGATTAACAAATCGCATATAACGCGCAGTCCTGTTTTAATTTTATATCTAATTGATGGCATTGCAGGTAACATTTTTCTTTGCCTTGTATGTCTCAAACTCGCATGGTGTATTAATCAGTTACCGTAATAGCCTATCCCTGATTCCATACAGCACTGAGGTCACTTGCTCTCACTAAACTGAGTGCCTGGTCCTTGGGAGGGCGTATATAAGAAAGGGGTATGGGGTACCCAGAGGAGATATAACAATAAAGGGGTGGCCAGAATAGTGTGTTCTGGATAGAGATGTTCATGGTGTGGTATGTGGCCAACAAAAGAGCGTCAGGAGCGTAAAAAGGTTTACACCTTATTGACTTGACCACCACTACGGGGTCAAAGTCAACAACAACAACGATAAAACAAAGCTGTCCGCGGAACGTCATAGCGCCTGCGCACTGGGCAGCCACAGCGACCTGGGTGTGAGCCGTAGGCGGAGGGCGGGGAATGGGCAGAACTGCGGCTGCGCATGGAGCCGCGCGGCCCGCCCACCCACAACTCCCCACACCCCTTATCCCCGCGGAGCAAGTTTCCGGCGCCGCAGCTCTTCCGGACCCCGAGCTAGAGGCTGGAGTCGAAGAACGGCAGGTACCGACTGGCTGACGGCTGACATTCGGGCCTGAGAGACCATGACATCCAGCGGCGCCTGTGGATCGACGGCGCGCTGGGCGCTGCCCCTCGGCGTCTTCGCGCTGCTCCTGCTGCTCTTCCCGGCGACTCACGCGCAGCAGACCCTCGGGACTGGTGGGTCCAGACCGGCAGGGCTCGGGCAGGGTGGGTGCAGGGGTCCCGGGTAGGGTCGTCGCCTTTCCCCATGGCCGCGCACCTGGAGCAGCAGCACCTTTGTCGCAGATCGCTCCCCAGCGACGATCCCCGGGCAGACGCCGCGACGCTGGGCTCCGGGGCGCCAAGAGGCGGGCACGGAGCTGGAGGCGACCAGAAGCTCGGGCTGACTCGCGGGGCCTGCGGGGAGTTCACTGCCACACCCAGTCCCTCTCCGGTGGGGCCGTGTTGTGGTTGGGGGCACCAGCCGAAAAGGCGACACCAGTGACGTGACCAGGGGGAGTCCGTCTTGGGCTTGGTTTGCCTTCTGTCCCGCCCTCCCCCCGCGCGTGACGAGACAACCCGATCTCGATAACTTGGACCAGCATCCAGCGCGGTGGTGGAAAGTGTCCGCGGGGCGCGCAGTGTTGTTTCTCCCTGGCTTGGCGCTTCGCCTTTGGGTTTCATTTGATCTTTCTGTAACCCGTGAGGAAAGAGTTAGCTAGTTTGTCTTCGGATTTCTATTTGAAATCTAAAAGTAGACCCTAAAAAATCCCTATTCGCAAGTTCTACAGCTGGATAGAGGACCCAGGATTTAAGATCAGGCCAACTGCCGACCCCTCCTTAGCCTTCATGTCTGCCAGGCACTGTCACCTGCAGGGACTTGTTATGTAATGGACCACCCACCACGGTGCACCATTCAAAGGTTAGAGCAAAGGGATTTGCAGATGCAGCTGTGAGTTCTTGAGGTTCTTGTGTGCCTGGAGTCAAGTCAGGAAAGGTGGATTTTAGTGAAATGCTACTATCTTGAAGTAATGTCTCTTTGAAGCAAGGGATTCCAGACTGGCACCGGACATTTTTTCTTACTTGTTCACTTGACCTAGTCACCTATCTGGTACTGGAGCCTTTGTGGTGACCACAGTCCTTATTTTAGAGAGTCCTTGGGAAGATTGACCAAGCAAACGTAATTGGGATGCAAAAGAAACAGTTGGGATGCAGGATGAAGTGTTTTGGGAGAGTTGTGTCAGAAAGCATAGTCTGAGGCCCAAAGGGTTCAAGAAGTCAGGGGAAATTGAGTTTAGAGTGAGGAGAGGGCAACAGTAAAAAGTTGGGCCAAGAGGAGTTTGGTCCTTAGGCAGAGGAAGTCTTGGGAAGGAGGTTTTTCTACCGCCACCGGTGGAGTCTCTATTGAGATTCTTGCTGTTGTTGAATACCATCCAGTTCATTCTGATACAGATGCTCAGTGAGGTTTAAGTTTTATGAAAACAGCACTGATCATTTTTTAAAATATATATTTGGTAAGATAAACAAGCTCAAACTTGGCACTGTCATGATTCTGTCTCACTGAACCTAGTTGACAGAGTAGAACTGTTCCAAAAGGTTTTCTTGGCTGCATCTTTATGGAAGCAGAAAGTCAGGCTATTCTCCTGCAAAGCAGCTGGGTGCATTTGGATTGCCAGCCCTTTGGCTAGCAGATTAACTGTAGTCTTTTGGTTAGGTTAATTCTTGTACTACCAGGGCACCTAGTTTTGGGTTGTAGAGTCATAAATGCACTCTTAAACTTCACTTTGCTGACCATTAAAGTTGATTTGAGGTCCAGCAAGAATTACCCAGCTAGAGTGGTTTTCAGCTCAGGTTAGCTTAAGCTTTTTGAGGTCTTTTTCAAACGGCAAGGCACCTTCTCTCTGTTGATCTTACTGAATATTTGTTGTAGGTAGGCTTGGTTCTTATCTGCTCCTTTTCACCTACTTCCATGTGTGCTGTGGGCTGGTGACGATAGCAACTCGGCCTTCTTGGAGTTTGTTACTGAGTCGGTGAGTCAGTGAGTTCCAAGGACTAGGGTGAATGGAGTCCTTTTTACCAAAAAGGATAAATATCTGCAAAGAACCTGTGATCATCAGTACTCTATCACTGATTTCAGAGCATATTTGCAGGTATTGTTAGAGAATAGGTGGCAGGAAAACAACCCTGAAGCTAGGCTCAAGAAATCCTCGGCTACTCTAATTTTAGCATTGGATCTGGATCTCTGTATTTTTTTGTTTTATTTTCTTTTTTACCTTCCCCCCCCCCCCCCTTTTGTATCTGGATGTCTGAGGGTGTAGAAACTATATGAAGTGCGTGCAAGTTGACTATGACAGGCGATAGTTAAATTGAAACTGATTTGTAATAATTCACCCCTAGCCCCAGGGCTTCCATCTTAACCATTGATCTATCTGGAAACTGTACAGGTTTGCTTCTAATTACAGAAGTCGCCTCATATTTGCCTCCTAGCTACTCCCTAGGTTCCTCTGTGGATCAGTGCTTATTTCTTTAATTAGGAAGTCTTCACATAGTGGAGGTGGTATCATATTGTCCTAAAGGACTCTAATCTATGTATCTGCCCACGGTATTCTCAAAGGAAGGTTGTTTATGGCAACTGGCCACTCCCTTTTGCCCAAGTAGGTTGTGATGGGCTCCTGCAAGAGTATGACTGTTTATTTTCCTTACAAGAATACTTTGTAAATATAAAGAAAACCACACCAACACTTTTTATTTTCTCATTGAGGGATAAGATGTAAAAGAGTGAGTGATTAGGAACCCACAATATATTGAAGATCTTGTTAGCAGAATTAATGCTTTGAAAGAAATCTTGATGGAGGCCACTCTAGTTGTGTGTGACCAGAATTGTGAACTCCTCTTCTCCCAACCTTGAAAGACATCATCAGCTGCTGGAAGGACTTCCTTGTGCTGATCCTAAGAGGAGAGCCATGGGGTCCTCGGGCAAGTCAACAGAGGTGTTTCTCCTATAGTCCTGATTTGGAAGGGGGTCAGCACTCAAAGAAAACTTCTTGAGAATGTGTCCTTACTCTTAGTAAATTGTGCAAATTGCATTATGCATATGGGATATTCTTTTGATATATACTACCACTCGTTAATTCTTCATTTTCAAATGAGATAGCATTTTACTAGGACCTTTGTCTAAATTAAATTTCCCTTCATTTTTTTTACTTGAAGTGCATATTATTGTCACTCTTGATATATGTCTGTCACCAGGCTGGTAAGCACAATGCTCCTTTACTAACGGGCTTGTCTACTGCCAAGGGGCATGGTAGACTGCATCCCAGGGCCTGACATGTGACACACACATGATAATGAATATACTTGATCATTTTCTTTCTTTAAATGTATCTCTTTACACATGCTTGTGTGTGTCCTTTGTACTTAATGAATTAATTGGCATGCTTGGAACTTTAGGCAGGAACCCAAAGTGGGTCATGGTAACCAGTGTAACAAAAGAACCTTTTTTGTCTGTCTATATAATTTTCCAAGTAAATGAGACTTCAAGTTCATTCACTTTTGATAAATAGGATCTAAGTGATCTGGCTGAAGATTATTTTTTAAATGGCTTGGACATTAAAATAGAACTTCCAGAAATTCCAGTTGGATTCAGAAGAGGCTAAACACTAGAGATGTCATTGCTAATGACAGATAGGTTGTGACTGAAAACAGAGAATACTAGAAAGTTGTTTACATGTTGTTTATTGATAATGTAAAGGCATTTGACTGTATGGATCACAAATTATTGATAATATTGAGAAAAATGGGAATCCTATAATACTTAATTGTGCTCTTACAAAACCTATGCATAGGTCAAGAATGAGGAAACACTGAATATTTTAAAATCAGGAAAGGTATATATACATCAAGGTTGTATCCTTTCTCCAAGGATTCCGTTTGTATGTTGAACAAATAATTTGAGAAAGCCCAACTAAAGAAGAATGTGGCATCAGGATTGGAAGAAGACTCATCAACAGCCTGCATTATGCAGATGACACAACCTTGCTTACAGAAGATGAAGGTAACTTGAAGCCCTTACTGAATAAATATCGGACTGCAACTGTCAATATGGATTACATCTCAACATGAAGAAAACAAAACTCTTCACCATTGGACCAGTAGGCAACATCATGATAAATGGAGAAGAGATTTAAGTTGCCAAGGATTTAATTTTACTTGGATCCACAGTGAATGCCTACTATTTCAGCTGTCAAGAAATTAGAGAAAATCTGCTGTCAAAGACCTCTTTAAAATGGTAATCAGCAATGATAAGGTGCAACTGATCCAAGGCATGGTGTTTTCAGTTTATTATGTTTGAAAGTTGGGCAGTGACTAAGGTCGAAGAAGAGTCAATGCCTTTAATTTGTGATGTTGGCAAAGAGTATTGAAAATTTCATAGACACCTAAAAGAACAAACAAATATGTCTTGGAGGACATGCATCCAAGGTGCTGTTTGTAGGCAAGGATGGTGAAACTTCATCTTACATACTTTGGGCATGTTGTCAGGAGAGACCAGTCCTGGTGAGAAATAATCATGCTGGGATACGTGGAAGGTCAAAGAGAGGAAGACCTTTAGCAAGACAGTTTGACACAGTGGTTATAAGTGAACTTGAGCGTGGCAGAGATGGTGAGGATGATGCAGGATAAAGCACGTTCCAGTCTATTGTCACAGTCAGCTCAGGGGCACTTAACAATTGAAGACTTTGTCAGTATTTCAGAAGTTCTGACATTGCCTCAGCATTTGACTTAAGGAGCAAGGGCATCTTCTTATCTCTGGCCTTAAGCACATAATTCCTACACCTTGTGATAAGAGGTGTAATGACCTCTTGGAGAAATCAAGTGCTGCCTTGTTTTAAATCCAGAGTCATTGAGTGACATTTTCCTACCTTTCTGTGTGAGGTGCTGTGGTATTTTCAGATGAGAGACCAATGTGCCTATCTCAGCTTTTGCAGTGATCTGAGTGAGGAGCTTAGACTGACCTTTACATCACAAGTCTGCCTTGCTTTCACTTGTACTGGCATTGTCAAGGCCAGGTTACTGTCTGCAGTACTGTACCTCAGGTTGTCCCGTGACTCATACTGTCCTGTAGCTTTGAGGCCCTGGGGGAGTGGAGTTTGTGTTGTGTATCATGGAGTGCAATTCTGTTTTGTTCACACAAGACCAGTTATCCAAACACAGCTTTAAATCGGAAAATTCCTGTCCTTTTTGCCTCCCATGACTGGAGGCCTCTCAGACAGGTGAAAAGTAATTGTGTAAGTATTCTTGTAAATAATTTTAAAATGGAATTTTGAGTGGAGTGTGTTGGATGACTGTGCACATCTCGCCAGAGTTTTTACCTCAACTTTATTTAGAAACATTTCAAAGCTACAGAAAGATTGAAGGTTTAGTCCAGTGAGTGGACTCCTGAATCCCTTTCTGGATTCACATTTGCTGCACTTGCTTTGCAATTCCCTCTCTGTATCTACTACTTATTAGTTTTATAAAAGCATTTGGGTGTGAGTGATAATAGGTTGCATCAGCTCTAAATTCTTCACTGTATGTGTTCTAAGTATGAGGATACGCTCTTACAGTATATGATGATCAAAATATAGATACTTAACATTGATCGATACTTGATGTACTATGTAGTCCATGTCCAAATGTGGTTAACTATCCCTGTATTGTCCTTTATTTACTTTGACTGCATCTAGGATCACACATGCTTTTAGCTTGATATTGGTTTAGTCTCCTTTGAGCAAGACTAACCCACCCCACCCACCCTCCTGTTTTCATGTTGCTAGTTTATAAAAACCACTCCTTTGGCTGGGTGATCCAGCAGTGTGGAATTTATCAAACAATATCACTGATATCACATGCAAGCAAAATTCTGCTGAAGATTATCTGGAAATGACCAGAACAGTACATTAACAGAATTACAAGCTGGGTTTAGAAGAAGCCATGGAACTAGAGACATTTAGATTTTTATTATTATTTTTTTTTCTGTGTATACCATCAAATCGGATCTGACTGATACAGGAGGAGACTGTCCATCCTTCTCCAGCAGAGCATCTAGTGGGAGACATTATTTCTAATGTCAGATGTATCTTGGCTGAAAGCAAAAGAGTATCAGAAGAATGACTGACTGTGTTTCATTGCCTGTACAAAGGCATTTGACTGTGTAGATCACAACAAATTGTGGCTAACCTTGAGGAAAATGGGAATCCCAAAACATTTCATTGTGCACATGCAAAACCTACATTTGTCAAACAACTGTGAGATATCATCTCACCCCAGTCAGAGTAGCAAAATTTAACAAAACAGCAAGCAACAAATGCTGGCGAGGTTGTGGAGAAACTGGAACCCTTATTCACTGTTGGTGGGAGTGTAAAATGGTGTAACCACTGTAGAAAGCAGTATGGCGCTTTCTCAAAAAGTTGCAAATAGAGATACCGTTTGACCCAGCAATTCCACTATTGGGAATATATCCCAAAGAGACCATAACTGACATCCATGCAGATATGTGAACACCCATGTTTATTGCGGCTCTGTTCACAATAGCAAGAAGTTGGAAACAATGCAGGCGCCCATCAACAAACAAATGGATAGAGAAGCTGTGGTATATTCTCACAATGGAATACTACGCTGCATTGAAAAACAAGGAACTCATGCAATATTATTCAAAATGGGTGAGCCTGGAGGACATTATTCTGTGTGAAATATCTCAGATGCAAAAGGACAAATGTTGCATGGTGCCACTGTTGTAAAATGGGACTGATATCAGGGTTGGGGTAAGACTGAGAAAAACTGGATAAATTGTGTATACTGCATTGAAACAGATGAGGGAGTGAATAATTTAAAAGCGATGTATGATAGGGTCTGTCTTATGGTTATCACAAGAGTCCACAATTAAGGTTGCATAGTGGAATGTACTTGGGCCGATGGGAGGGATGCGGGGGGATTGCGTACCAGGGAAGGAGTGTTTCTTTTACTTTTGAAAGAGAGGACCGAATGGGGGCGGGGCCGGGGGGGGGAGTGCAGCAGTGAATGAATGGAAATCCAAAATCTCTGTAAATGCTCATTAAAATTATTTTTTTAAAAACACACCTACATTTGGATTGGGAGGCAGTTATCAGAACAGAGCAAGGAAACACTTCATGGTTCAAAATTAGCAAGAGAGTGTGTCAGGGATATGTTCTGTCTCCATACCTTTTCAATCTGTGGAACCGATCGTTTGGGAGGCTGGGCTTTATGAAGAGGAATGTGGCATCAGGAATAGAGGAAGACTCATCAACAACCTGCATTATGTAGATGTCACAACCTTGCTTACTGACACTGAGGAGTAAGTGCTGCAGAAGGTCAAGGACTATAATCTTCAATATGGGTAGAAGCTTAACATCAGGAAGACAAAAGATTTTCACCACTAGGCCAATTGGCAGCACCATGATGGATAGAAAAGAATTGAGATGACAATGAAAGAACTTTTTTCCCCAAAGAAAAAAGCCAACTGGGGGAGGGGAGCAGGGAGGAAAATGCAACCATAAATAAATTGAAATTAAAAAAAAAAGAAAAGAAATTAAGGTTGTTAACAATTTCAGCTTGCTTGGTTCCACAGTCAACACTCTTAACACCAGCAGTCAGGAAATCAAAAGACAGATTGCATTGAAGAAATCTGCTGTCAGTAACCTCTCCAAAGAGCTAAAGAGCAGTGATGTCATTGTAAGAGACTAAAGTGCACTTAATCCAGTCCATGGTCTTTACAATGACTTGCTATGCATCAGAGAGCTTGACAATGACTAAGGATGACAAAAGAATTGATACCTTCGAGTTGTGGTGCTGGAGAAGAGTACTGAACGTACCATGGACTACCAGGAGAACAAATAGATGTGTCTTGGAGAGGGCAAAACCAAATTTCTTCTTGGAGGCAGGTATTTTAAAGCTCTCTCTCACATATTTTGGGCACATGGCCAGAAGGGACTAGTCCTTGGAGAAGGGTCCGCATGTTCGAAAGGGTGGGGGGACAGCACAGGAGGGGAAGACCTCGGACGGGATGGATTGACACAATAACTAGGGCAATGGGAATTAGGTGTGTTGGAGTCAGTGAGATTGACTCGGGTTAGAGCAGGTTCAGAGCTGTTGTACATAAAAACAACACCCCAAAACAACCTTCAGAGACTGAGAAGAGCAGTTTAATCATGGCTGATTGGCACAGAGAGAGAGCGTGTATATATGTGTGTGTTGGGGAGGGATGCTTAACACGTTGCCACAAATGACAATTATAGCTGTCCTGCACATTTTAATTAATAAAAAAGGAACATCATTCGTACAAAGTGTGGTAATGCATTTATTTGTTAATTAATGTGTTTCTAAACATGGTCGTCAGTTTGAAAATGTGCAGCAGCGTGTTAAGGAGAGTTAGCTGTCAGCAGGTTTATGTTAACATACTAGAGATCTTTCCTTCAGTTAGCCCTCCTCTTCTGATTAGTTTGAATTTCAGGTCTATGAGCTGACTTGAGTTTGACCCTTTCCTATAGCAGCAGTGTGCTGGAAATCATGATTAGAATGGCAGTGCTACCTACATGATCAGTGGCTATTTCCAAGGCACTTACTACTCTGTGCTGAGGCTGGTGTGGGACTGAGGCTTTGCTCTTAGTCACAGCTGCAAATCCTAGTGGGCTCACGCAGTTCAAATCTACCAGATGCTCTGCAGGAGAAAGATGGGCAGTCTTCTCCCATTTGTTTTAGTGCCTCTGAAAACCAACTGGAGGGTGAACTATGAGTCAGTTCAGACATCAATAATAGAAGGCCATATAATGGCTAGGGTGTGTATGTGCTTGCTCGTGTGCATACCCTGAAGCATCTCAGGGAGAGTGATATTATAGTCTGGATCAGAGTTGAATGCCAGGTTGATTTGTGGATCACCCTTACCCAACATGCCTTGCAATCTATTCAGAGGACTCTCAGTGATTGATTTATTCATTTCCCTCCACAGTTTGCTCTCAGAATTCAAACAAAACTTGTGAAGAGTGCCTGAAAAATGTCTCGGTAAGTAACACAATATGTCACTTAATCCTCACATACATACACTTTTTCTAAAGCCAGAGTCACATATGTTTTAAGGGTTCTGCTAACTGGGATTCATGGAGGTATTTTTTATGAAGGTCATTAAGTGGATTTTGTTGTTGGCTTTGTTTTTTCCTTTCTCGGGCATACTAATCTGCTTTGTACAAACTGTTGAGCACCCTCTGATTGCTGTCCACACTTTTTTTTTAGCTCTTAGGCTGGAAGAGAGTCCTGCTGGAGCAGTATGTTAAGAATTGAACTGCTAATTGAAAGATTAGTAGTTTGAACTCAGCCAGGTTCTTTGTGAGAAAAAATGAGGCAGTCTACTCTCATAAAAATTGTCAGCCTGGAAACCCTTTGGGGCAGTTCTTCTATAGGGCCTCTGTAAGTCAGAATTGACAGTGGGTTTGATTTTATGGTAGAAGTTCTCAAGTGGCACAATCAGGAGAGTTTTTTCACTTTTCATTAAGTACATCTTAAACTATTGTAAACACAAGACACTTAAAGTCAGTACTACATAAATAGTACTACATAAATACATTTCCATTCTAACCTGGGACAAAAATGTCATGATTATCTATCTAAGCTCAGCTAATCTGCTAATTCCAAGATTTAAAATAACAAAGCAAAGTTTTCTCTTAGCCAGCATGGTAGGGGCTATCTCAAGCACAGTTCATGTGTCCCTTCATCTGTAGGGACAGATGAGTGTCAGTCTCCTCACTACCTTCAGATCATGTAAGCCAGGTTGTAGTTGCCAGTATGCTGTGAGCACTAAGCACTTTTGTGGCTGTGTTAAGAATTTTTTTTTCTGTGTGTGTGAGCTTTATTTGCCATTCAGACCTTACCCTGACAGTTTAGGAAGTCAGAAGTTTAATAAGACAGATGCTTTTTAGCCTCACTTGCATCACCTTTAAATTGAAAGGATGCCCACCCTTCAGTTTGTGGAAATCAAAGGTAAGATGCAAAACGAGCCCATTTTTTTTTATTTATTTTTAATTTGGTTTACCATCAAATTGGATCCAGCCAGCACAGGAAGAGTTTGACCCACCTTCTCCAACGGAGCATCTGGTGTATTTGAACTGCACACCTTCAGGACTGCAGTGCAGCTTCTTGCCACTAGGTCACCAGAGCTCCAAAAAGTACCCAATTTTTAACAATAGCCCACAGATTGTTGTGATTCAGTGCATGTAGAGTAGGCACCCATCATGGGCCAGATTTGATGCTAGGTGCTTGCTTTTGTGTGAACACATCCTAGTCATTATACATTAATGCATGGGAGGTAAGGAGTATGGTTTGACTGCTCACCAGGGAAGGAGGTGGCCCTGGGCTGCAGTTTGAATTTGCTAAGGATAAGCTTCCTTGGGGGGAGATATTTGTTGGAAGAAATAAGGGAGTCTCCAGACGTGCAGAGGAAGACTGTTCAGGCAGGGTGAACAGGCCCTGCAGAGGCCATGGGCAGGGAGTTGGTTCAGCATGAAAAGCAAGAGTCTCAGGTTCTCCAGGGCATTAGCTTTTCCTCTAAGTGGAATGTTCTTGAACAGATCAGAGCCACTGGCTGCTGTGCTGAGAACTGAGTGGAGCAACCAGGACCAATGGCAAACTGGTTGGAAAGCCAAGGCCTTCTCAGCTATCTGGGGGAAGTAGCATGCTCATAGGCCATGAGGTGATGAGTGGTTTTCATGTTTCACTCTTGATATTCATCCAAATGCTTATCTCTTCCAGTGTCTTTGGTGCAACACCAATAAGGCATGTCTGGACTACCCAGTCAGAAAAATCTTGCCACCTAGTTCTCTTTGTAAGCTGAGTTCTGCACGTTGGGGTGTTTGCTGGGGTAAGTTACTGTTTTAATTTACTTGTTGTAAAATTGATACTTTGTTGAAAATTCTGGAGTGTGCCCAGCTAGCCAATTCTGGCCATACATTGCCAAAAAACACAGTTGTTTTGTGGCATTCCCACCAAAAAGTTAGGGAGCCAGTGCTAGTACACAGAGTTTAGGAGAACAGCTCAGGATCTGGAGGATCACTTTCCAGACCATCAGCCTCGGCACTGATGTCTAAATCCCGTGTGTCCTCGGCTATCTCACCACGTTCCCTGCACTTGGTGCTCGTGGCTCCTGAGGTTGTGCTTGTGCTGGCTCATTCCCTTCCTTGTGCACTAGGAAACATCCCGGTGACTGCAAGTGCAGTGCTGGGAGGGCCCTTCTGGTGCCCTCTGTTTTCAGAACTTTAACATCCTAACCAAGCACTAATTCTCCAGATACTCTATCACCTGGCCAAATGCACCATTGTGTCTATGCAAGACCCCCTCTCCTGTGGGACTGTGTCCAGCTCAGAGTCAGGCTCACTGACCACCTTCCCCGTGAGCTTGGCCAGCACAGTGGTGCCCTAAAACACCATCCTTGCCCTTTTGAGCATGTATTCACCCCCTAGGTCTTTGATTGTCACTTTCAAGTGTTCTTTAGAAATTTGTATAGAGCTAGTGTTTTTCATTGTGTGGATTTCAAATTCTGTCCTACAATAGGAAAGAATTTTAACTGAACTTCAGTAAATAATTATGACCTCAGCTTTTTAAGTCATTTGTATAATCTCTATATAAAACACATTCTAACTTCATTCTTCATGCAGTGCCCTCTGTACCACACAAACTTTTAGCTGAAAATGGGTGAGAATGTATTCATTGATAGTTAATCCTACAAGAATGGTACATGTGAAGTGCATGTGTATCAGCTTATTGACATTAAGGTAGTCCATCAGTGACCATTTGAAATTCAGAGAAAATTTTGGTTTTGCCATGGCACCTCTTTCATATACTTAAAACCAACCCATAACTGACCTTTGAGTGGGTTTTCAGAAACAGTAAATTTCACTGGAAGAGACTGCCCATCCTCCCACAGAGTAGCTGGTGAATTCAAACCATGTGCATTTAAGATTGCAGCACAACTTCTTACCACAGCCAGGATGCTATGTAGAGCATTATCCAGAAGGACCAGGACAACATGCTTGGTAATGTAGAAGGTCCATGAAAAAAGATGGTGCAGGATCGGACAAGGTTCCAGTCTGTTGTTCATTAGGCTACTGTAAGTTGTAGTTGACTTGGTAGCACCTAACAGCGACAGTGAAAAAGAGGAAGATCTTCAGTGAGACAGACTGGCCCAGTGTCTGTGACAGTGGACTCCAACACAGCAGTTATTGTGAGGCTAGCATAGAACCAGGCAGTGTTTTTTTCTGTTGTATATAGGATTGCTATGAGTTGGAAACTAATTAGTGGCACCTAATACCAATGATGTGAATTGCAAAGGGCATCTCAGGAGCTGCCCTGGAGGAGAGCTCTTGTCGACTGCTCCTAACACAGTAATTCAATCTGGTTTCTTCAGAGCCCACACTCAATGCCCTTTTCATTTTGTGTTGGAGTTATATAGGAGACTTGACAAGAATTGAGAGGCAAGTGCAGTTGGATAGCTTGTCTGTAGCTGATGAGCCTACAGTTCACACAGATGGTGGAGAATCCTAGAGATTAGGTTTTAGTGAGAGGACACCACCTTTAAACCTGACTAGAAGTCTAGAGAAGTGGGAAGGAAAGTGAAGTAAGGGGAAAGAAGTAAGGGACCAGGAAGAATACCTCTCTGGGCAGTGTTTGCTTACTCTTTGTTTCTCTGGTCTTTGATATTTTATAAATGAAAAAAGTTTTATTTCCTACCCTAGGAGGTGTAGAACATTTTTGTTGATTCCAGTAAAAATTCCAGGTTAGCCAGTTACATTCATTGAGTGTGACTCATGAACCATGTTGGAGTAGATCCGTTGACCAGATAATCTACAGGCGTTTCTTTCAAGATGCCTCTGCTGCACTGCAATACCAAAGATGCTCAGTTCGAATCTACCAGATGCTCTGCTGGAGAAGGAAGGGCAATCTCCTCCTGTACCAGTCAGATCTGATTCAACAGTACACACACAAAATAATAATAAAAAAATAAAATTTTTTTTAAAAGTTAAAAAAAAAACAAAAAAAGGTGCATCCTCCACTCTCACCCCAAGCGCTGCCACCTTTAGTTAGTGGTCAAACATAATAAGGGATCCCTGTTTAGAAGGAAACTGAAGCATACATGTCTCTTATATTTTTCTTTAATGATAAACTTTTTTTAGTATTTTTTTAAAATATTCATTGTTGCACATTTATATTTTCCTTAAAGGTGGACCCCTTGAGTATGGTTGATTCTACAGGTGGTGATTGTTATTAGGTGGTGGGGCTTTTTTTTTTCTTCCCTTTTTGCCCTGTTCTCTCCTTCCCCTTTAGAAAATTTATTTTGAACATATTTTGCTCCGTTATCCTATATTTATTTATTCTTTCTTTTTAACATATTTTGTTCAGTTATCCTATTTTTGTAGTAGTGGTCTTACACAGTGTTTGTCCTTATGTAGCTGAGTTATAGTTTTTCCTATGTTATATAGTATTTCTAATCGTTTTTGGATGATCTTCAGTAGAATCTTGCTTGCATGTGAAATCAATGACACTGTTCTGTAGTTTCCACACTCAGTCGGGTCACCTTTCTTTGGAATGGGAACAAATATAGATCTCTTCCAGTCAGTTGGCCAAGTGGTTGTTCTCCAGATTT